GCATATGACAGACCTACTGTTCAAACTGATGTCAACCCTGCATATGACAGACCTACTGTTCAAACTGATGTCAATCCAGCATATGACAGACCTACTGTTGAAACTGACGTCAACCCTGCATATGACAGACCTACTGTTCAAACTGATGTCAACCCAGCATATGACAGACCTACTGTTCAAACTGATGTCAACCCTGCATATGACAGACCTAGTGTTCAAACTGATGTCAATCCAGCATATGACAGACCTACTGTTCAAACTGATGTCAACCCTGCATATGACAGACCTACTGTTCAAACTGATGTCAATCCAGCATATGACAGACCTAGTGTTCAAACTGATGTCAACCCTGCATATGACAGACCTACTGTTCAAACTGATGTCAACCCTGCATATGACAGACCTACTGTTCAAACTGATGTCAATCCAGCATATGACAGACTTACTGTTCAAACTGATGCCAACCCTGCATATGACAGACCTACTGTTCAAACTGTTGTCAATCCAGCATATGACAGACCTACTGTTCAAACTGATGTCAACCCTGCATATGACAGACCTACTGTTGCAACTGATGTCAACCCTGCATATGACAGACCTACTGTTCAAACTGATGTCAACCCTGCATATGACAGACCTACTGTTGCAACTGATGTCAATCCAGCATATGACAGACCTACTGTTCAAACTGATGTCAATCCAGCATATGACAGACCTATTGTTCAAACTGATGTCAACCCTGCATATGACAGACCTAGTGTTCAAACTGATGTCAATCCAGCATATGACAGACCCACTGTTCAAACTGATGTCAACCCAGCATATGACAGACCTATTGTTCAAACTGATATCAACCCAGCATATGACAGACCTACTGTTCAAACTGATATCAACCCAGCATATGACAGACCTACTGTTCAAACTGATGTCAACCCTGCATATGACAGACCTACTGTTGCAACTGATGTCAGTCCAGCATATGACAGACCTACTGTTCAAACTGATGTCAATCCAGCATATGACAGACTTACTGTTCAAACTGATGCCAACCCTGCATATGACAGACCTACTGTTCAAACTGATGTCAATCCAGCATATGACAGACCTACTGTTCAAACTGATGTCAACCCTGCATATGACAGACCTACTGTTGCAACTGATGTCAACCCTGCATATGACAGACCTACTGTTCAAACTGATGTCAACCCTGCATATGACAGACCTACTGTTGCAACTGATGTCAATCCAGCATATGACTGACCTACTGTTCAAACTGATGTCAATCCAGCATATGACAGACCTATTGTTCAAACTGATGTCAACCCCTGCATATGACAGACCTACTGTTCAAACTGATGTC